TCAAAGCAGATTGATTATTTTATCAAACAATAGGCGAATCAGTCATTAAGTATAGACTATCTATACCCGGAAGTACATATCAATTATAGTAATTAGTTAAGTTAAAGATGACACATCAGATCAGGTGTTGAACTCCGGCTTAATTGGCACAAGTGGACGAGAATGGTGATACAATTACCCTGGTTGTGATGCCTATCCATCACAAATTAACCCAAGCTAACAGCTTCTACCCATCATACAGCTGAGTATAACTGAACAAGTGGAGTAAAGTGTCTTGCTCAAGGACACAAAAAATGACACAAGCCAGCCTCGAACTCCCAACAATCCGCCTACGAGTTCAGTACTACAATGATACGACTTGTAATTAAGCCATTTCACTCGAATTTATGGAGATGTTACCGGTAGCAGACTTGTTAATTTAAAAAATACAAGGTTATTTTGAATCGGATTTTAAAACAAAAACAGACCAATGTCTTCGAACAAGATGAAAACTCAAAGGCAAGTATAGGTTGCAAAATTGAAATTGAATTGTGGGCAAAGTTTGAGAAGTTATTAGGTGTAATATATTTTTAATTTGATTACGTATATAAACCCAACAAACATCAGTTTATGCTTTTCATATATTTGTGTTGTTTTGATAAAATAAATGAGAAAAATGTTAAAAACTATAAAAAGATTAGACACTTTATATGATAATTTACATTATTATAATACGTGACTTATAGATACGTTAAATTTAGCTTCGCAAGTATCATGATACTTGTGTTTATACGCTTTGGCAGAATAAAAAACTTAAAATAAATCCAACAGGAATGATTGAAACCTGAAAGTTGGATGGAACTCAACACAACAAAGAAACCCAACATCACCCAAACGGTTTTAAATTCTTTAGTCTACAAACATTGTGGTAGTAAAATGTGAATTCATTACCAATATAAATATCACGGTCAAGTCACGATCAAGCACTTTAAGTCATTAAGATATCCTCAATCTTGCCTTCATCAGGTTATTAACGAATAACGAACTGATAGACTCACAAAGGACAGTTCAAAAACAATTATATTTTGACGCCTTCTTTACTATCGCTCATTAACTGAATATTATTTTAGTTTATTTGATTGAAAAACTGTGTTTATCCTGCTTTATATCCGATATATATTGTGAATGAAATCAGTATCCCGGTGTCCTTTATGATGCTTTCCTTGACATCACTATATTAAAGCATAGAAGGGAAAGATCCTGAAAACACGAGCTATAAAGGTTCTTATTATATCTCATAATTTAGATTTATATATGTTTTATTACAGTATTGATAAAAAAAAAAAGGTCAGATATTATCCTTCGGAAATCTAATGTTAGAGAATGGGAGGTGGTTATTTTCTATTATAGTCTCTTCTTCTTTCGGTTTTATTGGAGCTACTGAATAATATTTATGTTTTTGCAAATTGTAGTTTGTTTAGTTACTAAGTTATGATGCAAAAAAACTGAAAATTATGCATAAAAGTAATAAATTAACAGAAAAATGGCATGTATAATGTAAACAATATCATTCATTATTTTGAACTTTATTGAGAAATTTTAAATATTTCTTTATGAAAGAAATTTATACTCGACAAAGAAGAGAGAGAGAGACGAAAATCGCATCTTTACTTGAAAAAAATCTCTACTGTTGATTTCTCGTAATCAACAGAAATCTGTGACACTGTTTACTATTTATCTAATATAACAAGACTAAAGAATAATATCATTACAATGTAATATCCGGTAAATGGAAACAAAATTATGCAGTGTAAAATTATGTGGCAAGACGAGAAAGTGTTAGTTGTCAAACTGCACTGTAAACTACTAAAATAGTTTGATTTTAAAGTCACAAATTTGCTTATTTCAAAGAGTTAGAATATAAAACGCCGAGGTAAACTAGTGTTTTTTTTTAGTGGCCAAAGAGCATTTATAGTACGGTAGGTAGGCCACTGAATTTATCGCGATATAAATATTTTGGGTTTCTGTCGATTTAAATAATAGAGAATCTTCAACAGTCGCTGCACTTGAAATTCTTTTAGGCAGGATTAGAGTAATTTATTTTATGAGACATTTCTTCTCCTTTTTTTAGCTATATTTTTGTGCGCCAACAATAGCAAGCTTATACCCGTTTCAATTTTATTACTCATCAGGATCTCTATCAGCCTACCTTCAAATTGAGATTCTTTTAGACAGGATTAGAGTAAATTAAGCTATTAAACCTTAGGCGTGTTCAAATATACCAGTCGAACGGGTTTGTCCTCCTGAGTCCAAAGCTGTAATTAGATCTCAAATCGGTCAAAAGATGACGGAGATAAGAGCTAAAAGTTTATACTTGAAAAGCTCAGCGCCGTTTTATGAGCCGCTGTTAAAAAAGCTCTTTGAATTCACTTCCAAGAATTCGGTTTTAGAGTTAGACCAACTAACAACGACGCAAATCCAATTCCTCAATTCTATTGATGCCAATTTAAATATTGTGATGATCAAAACTAAACTCTGCAGAAAACCAGACTGTTATTGTATACCTATTCGTGCTGTATTCCTTTAAGTAGTTAACTCATTACGTTATGACTAATATGTTTTAAAGAAACAGTCTATAACTTCCTATTAATTAGTTCATCATCAAATCATTTTGAAAGTTCACGGTAAAAGGTTTATTGGTTTTCTTGTGAATTTAGCACTCATATATTATTCTAATATATGTTTCTATCAAGCTAATAGCTTCATGTAAACCACAACTAGTGACACGTGCTTAATATGGGACAGAATTATCTGGTAATAGAAGTAAGGAGGCTTTTAAAGCCAATATTATTTTTCTGAACCGTTGCTATTTTTACTTCAGTTGTTGAAATTCCAGTATTCAAAGTCTAACTTATACTTTGAAGAAATACATAATTGCATTTGAATACCAACCTTTTTATAAAGCATAGACTATTGTCAGTTTAGAAATATTATTTCTTTAAAGGCTTATGGATACCACTAACTAATATTTTTAATTTATACAACTTCTACAATCATTGCCATCTGGAGGATTAAGTATGACTTGTCACTGTTATAATGATGCAGCATGAATAGATAGATTTTATTAACCTACTCAATGCTTTCTCTAGTGCAATTTGTTCAGTTTTCAAACGTGGAACAGAAATACAAGCTTCGTTATATATATATATATATATATATAATCCAGACAAAGATAGAGATTCGTTCAAGTAAAAGCTTTATCACTTGCAATATTACCTTTTTAAATCGCTGTTGAGTAATTAGTATTTTTTTCGGTGAAAGGAAAACTAGACAAGTTAAAATTAAAATTAAAACAAAATTCACGAATATCATAGAGTTTAATTTAAACTGTGGTGTGACGTTTAGGTTAAATTAGTATGTGCTTGACAAGTGACTTATAATAACTGAAGTAATAAGCTCGAGATTCCTATGTTTATTTATATATAATACAGCGTACGAGATCAGCTGTAAAAATTAATATTCATTTAGTCCTTATTTTATGTTAATTTTATAATTTATTGATTCTAATCGATCTCCATCCTGATAAACCGTTAAATATGTACAAACCAACATAATGTTGTATGTAAGATTAGAGAAGATGTAGAAAGAAAATATCCGGAACATGTATTTATCATTAACCATTGTCTATAAATGAGCTTGAAAAATAAAAGTCGGTAGGACTGTGACATTTTTATCTTCCACAAGAAGTCTCATGTGGTGTTCACACGTAATATGACGTTGTTGCTGCATAATGTTTGGAATTGTTTGTTTGTTATGGATTTCCCGCAAAGCTACACGAGGGCTATCTGCGCTAGCCGTCCCTAATTTAGCAGTGTAAGACTAGAGGGAAGGCAGCTAGTCATCACCACCCACCACCAACTCTTGGGCTACTCTTTTACCAACGAATAGTGGGATTGACCGTTACATTATAACGCCCCCACAGCTGAAAGGGCGAGCATGTTTGGTGTGACGGGGATTCGAACCCGCGACCCACAGATTGCGAGTCGAGCGCCCAAACCACCCGGCCATGCCTAGCGTTTGGGATTGAGTTAAATAGTTAGTAATTGTTATGCAGTACAATTAAGATATATCTTATAAACAAGAACAAAGATAGAATGTTTGAAAAAATTAAATATTTCTCTAACATTAGTTTTACATTGATTCATCCAGAACTTAATGGTAAAATTGTCTACATGCGACATATATCAGGTTTGGACATGAGTGCTCGTGGAAACTTAAGAGTACGCGCAAAACCATCTCATAATTCGTTTATCTGCTTTGCTGTGCAAAATTGTTTAAATAATTAACTCGATTAGAAGAGCTTACTTTAAGGAATTCGGTACAAAATTACGACCACCATAACCCGAGGAAAATACATCTAAATTCACCGGAAAATTTTAAAGAATATCTAAACGACAGAATTCAATCGCCAGATGGAATTACTGTACTAAAAAAATTAAATTTTAAACAGTAGAGAAATATATGATACGCTCCACAAAACTTCGGAGCAACAACATTTTTTTTTAAATTAAAATAATGAAGTATTGATAAATCAATGTATAATTATAATATGTTTCTTTACTTTTACTCAGTTATAGGCAGAACTGATTATTTATATAAAAATACAAATTTCTAGAACCTTCTATTAATCAGTAGTTGTTAGATGTTTTATTTATATTACACTTTCAGAAGAAGCTCACCTGTACTAGACTGTCTATTTAATTCCAGATAATTCAGTTACTGGATTTAAGCCACAAACTAACACATACCTCAAAATGTTCAACGTCAAAAACTTGAAACCGGAATTAAATAGACAGTCTAGTACTGGTGAGCTTCTTGTGACTGTATAATGAAAATATAACTTAGCGTAGTGCTTTCATACCGTCTTAGGAATTTGTAGAAACCATAAACATAAATCGTTTTATATAGATTTTTCTGCTGGGAACAGTGTAAGAAATAATTTGTTCTGGATTATAATTTACCTGGTATTTCTTACGGTTGCAGCTCGTTCCACAACAAGAACGGAAGAATCTGCTTCGTCGGGAAGCGACAATAGGAGCAGGAGACAAGGGAGGTGTGGAAGAAGCTTGATTTGCCTGAATAGCATGTGACGCTTCTAGTTCCACAAACTCTCGATCCTAGAGAAAATTTTAAGAAATCAACAAATATATAAAAACATGAACAAAACGTTCGAGAAAATCAGAAACGATTGGCTGCCAAGATAGATGACGATGAGTTTTAAAGTGCAGGTTATTTAATGGACACAATACACTTAATCCCCTTTTGACTTTTTGTTAAATGACAATCAGCATTCACAGGAAATTTATTGCAAGTTCGTTATCAATATATTATTATATTTACAGGTATTTCGACAGCCTTGATTCTTATTAGGAAAATAACTGTGCACACCTAAGTTTTACTTATTCAGAAAGCTATATATATATATATATATACATAAAATACTTTAGGTACATAGTAGTGAAATAGGATTTTAAATTAACCTTTTCGGATAGTGATACAGGCACTTTTTAGATTTCAGATTTGAACTTTTGAAATGTCATTCATAAACAGTGATGCTATTATTTTGAAACCATCATATTTTGTATATGCTTTATGTCAAATAAATATTTGACAGCTGACCAAAGTTATCCATTTCGGCTCCTAATAAAAGTTCATTTAAGATTTTTATATATCCACAGGAGTTTCGATGAGCAGAAACTTTCCATGCCCAAACCGCAAAATGGAGACTATGTTGTAAAATTTCCACTGTCCTCCACAGATTGTAAAATACAATCACAGGCGGATTATTCACTCGTCTGTCCCCAAAACAATACCCCAGAAGTCAGATGCTGATGAGGCTGCATTCAACGCTCAGCAAAATTCATCAAGATTTCAGAGTTGATGGACAAAATTTTGATAAACTTGAAATTATCTCATACTCTCAAAGTAATCAGTTCAGTTTAAGTATCTCATACTCTCAAAGTAACCAGTACAGTTTAAGTATCCCATACTACCAAAGTAACCAGTGCAGTTTAAGTATCTCATACTCTCAAAGTAACCAGTACAGTTTAAGTATCCCATACTCCCACAATAACCAGTACAGTTTAAGTATCCCATACTCCCAAAGTAACCAGTACAGCTTAAGTATCTCATACTCTCAAAGTAACCAGTACAGTTTAAGTATCCCATACTCCCACAATAACCAGTACAGTTTAAGTATCCCATACTCCCAAAGTAACCAGTACAGTTTAAGCGTCCCATACTTCCCAAGTAACAAGTACAGTTTAAGTATCCCATACTCCCAAAGTAACCAGTACAGTTTAGGTAACCCATACTCCCAAATTAGCCACATAAGAAGCATAGATCTCACAGAAAATATCTGTTCACATTGCCCACATTGAATGATAAAAAGTCTCAACGAATTTGCTGTAAAGATTTCCTTCACTTTTTTCTCTATCTTAATAAGTGAGCGTTTGTAAATTCTAACTGTACTTTTGACCGATATAAACTTTGTTTTAGATGTTGTACTATCCGATTTCCGTTACCGGAATGGACATATACAAAAAATATCTTGTTTAACGAAGCATTGCGACGACCACTTCAAGTATTGATTTTGCACAATATTGTCTCAGCAGCCTGTCCTCACTCAAATTTACCTAATTTACTGATTTACCCACTTTATCACATCACTAAACTGTCTTGGACGTTTTTCTCTGTTTATACTTACCCAGTCCCTTTGCAGTGCAAGCTTAGTGCTAATGTCATAGGGCTACTAATGTCCAGCGCAGCTTAAGCAAACCAAAGGTACATAAATCCGCTGGTAATACACACGTGGACTTAGCTTAAAGGTGAATGAACGAGATTACTATGATTCCACTTTCTTTGGCTTTCTTTCTCATAAAAACGTGCTGTTGATTTTGAGGTTGGCTGGAAGTTTGTAAGTCTTCGTTAACATCAAATAATTACTTGCTATCTTCTTAACACGTACCAGAAAATATGACCAGTATCATTTCAATTGCCTTTTGGCTCATTTGTAACCGCTGATTTCACTGTGTGGATGACATTGTTGATCCGGATTTGCTTGGGGTGTGGTTTTGGAGCTTGTTGCATTCCTGAATGTTTTCCTATGTGTGTTTGTCCTCTTCCATGGAGAACCCCAAAGCCCTTCCTCAAAGCGTTGTTTTCTTTGACTTTTAACGACGTTCTTATTTGAATACTTCTTTTTGGAAGAAGTAATTATCCAGCCATGACTAAGTGTTGAAATAAATTTACAAGCCGGTTAGTGGAGTTTGGTTTTACAAATAAGATCATTGCGTGATTATTACCTTACAAACTACACTAACATTCTTGATGCAATAGTAACTGATTTGGATACATTTCCATTATTCCCTAAATGATATTGGGCATAAATAAGTCGTTCAAAATACAAATTTAAACACAAATATTAATTTAATGACACTAAAAATTTAAACAATGTAGATCACCATTATTTAAATTTGTTTTTGTTTTTCGTAACTAAAAACATATCACTAATAGCAAAAACACCTTTGGAGCAAATAAACAAACCTCCTAGAAGTCAAATGTACACAAAAAGATTGAGGATAATATATTTTAAGAAATCAACTTACCCTTAACTACTGAGAATGATTTTTGAGATCGAAATTATGATCTATCTTTAAATTATGTAAGCCTTTTGTTCTAGAACGTTCAACCTGAAAACAATAATCTAAGAAAAAAGCCACGCATTCTATTTACACATATGAATCGTGCTCCTCTGAACTTAGAAATATTTTTTGTCGTTATTGTTTGAAAAGAGTTTTAATCTTAGAGTGAAAAAACCCCGATATTTGTAAGCTTAGCTTACCTTTCATATAACTATCGGAATATTCAACTTACAATGTTTTTTTTTGTTATTCATATTGTATAGGATTTTTTATTATGTCTATATATTTTTGTTTCGATTTTTATTTGCTAAAATCGAGTTTTTTTTTCTATGTATGACGATGATACATCATGTTCGTTTAAAAGATTCTTGCTATGAGCCAAACATTACTGGTGCTGCAGTATCAACTAGAGTTGATAGACATAAAACTTACTTCGGTTTAGCATATTTTTATATATGTGTCGTTTTGACCAATCATACGCATTAAGAAATGTTAAAGTTATTAAATTAAATTACTGGGATCATACACAAAATTACAATACTTGTTTTACTGGGAGATTTCGGTTCTTTTTATGTGAGTCTTCAAAGAGTTAATATGCATTAAACAGTACTGGTTTGATATTTTACGGAATAATTTGAAGTTAAGTGGCCAAGTCATAATATAAACAAAAAGCTGTATGTAATTTATGATCAATAAACCTTGTGACCCTTCCACGCTAACTACTCATCTACGGTAAATTGGTACAATAAAAAACAAACATTATTCTAACTCCAAAAAATATCCAAAATGTCTTTAATTTGAAGTTTATACCTCGTTCTTGTTCTAAAAGTGTAATTAACCATATATATATATTGTTACACTCATTATTTTAAGCTCAAATTAAGCTATGTAAATAAGAGATAAATTAAGTTATGTAACTTAAATAAAACTAACCCCTTTCCTTTGTCGTAGTTTAATATTACAACCAAAATTATTAATATAATTTTGAAACGTTAGTTTATGATAAAATCAATATAATAAATATTGAGTTCATATTGAAATCACTGTCAAATGTAAAAGAGGAATCCAGCGGTTTGAAAGTTTTTCAAAACTTATGTTTTAATAGAATCTTGGGATACAGAATTATAAAAATGAGTCACGTTTAAAGTTGTGACCTTACTTCAATTGAGATTTTGTTTGTTTGTTGAATTTCGGGCAAAGTTTAACGAGGTCTATCTGCGCTACCTGTCCCTAATTTTGAGATGTTAGTTAGTGGGAAGACGTTGGGACTCTCTTGTGATACCGAATAGGTGGGTTCGACCCGAAAGTGTGCAGCGCGACTTTCTTTTTACGGTAACGGGACTCGAACCACAATAGCCACGCTATCACTGGACCGCACTTGGCCCGACAGATGAGATTTCGGAACTTCTTTTGGTCGATACCTATTGGTGGACTACTTTTAAATACGTGGTTGTTTTTCATGCTTTGTTATCTTTGTTTAATATTTTTGTATTGTTAAAGTCCATCTTATGATCTTTTCCTTAGATACGGTAAGCGGCAACCAAAATGTTTTAACCACATTTATTGATTTTTTTTCCGTTTTTTGACGTTAACTTGGATCTTAAACAACAACGACCTTTAATTAATTTAACCTACCTGCGAAAAACAAAGAGTAAAATATTTTCTGTTTCGAACTAGAAATAGATGTTCCTTATAAATATAGTAATATATATATATATGCAATTCGAAATGTCTATGAAAGTGTTGTACAGGCCACAACACCCAGACATCAATTAGCGACAGATTGTCATTCAACAGCCACGTTAAAATATCTATACACCTGGAAAAAAGTTAAGCACCCCCAAATATTTTTCAGGA